GTGTGCATTTCAACAGAGGAAAAATACATGAGAGCACATTTCTAAGAAGTGATGGAGGCAGGAACAGAGTTGAACATAAAGACCTCCAAAAGAAAGGTACTTAAAATGAGCTCCTTTGGGATTTCTTTCTTGCTGAAGAAAGGTGAGAAATAATCAAATAATATACACAAAAAGTGTATTCAAGTATCAGCTTCCTTATTTTCAATTGTCTGACCATAGCTCAAAAAGATGAGTTTCCATAAAATAATGTAGAGAGATGTTAAATAGAAAAATGCAAACATCTAAAGAGGGCATTGGTTAATCCCCTTTCAACAGGGTAGGGGTGAACAGGAATGGCATGGAATGAAAGGATGCTACTGTGTTTTCTGATGCAACAGAAAACATAATTTCTGGTGAAAACATATTCAAAAGCAAGACTGCCCTCCAAACAGATGGAGTGCGAGTACCAGATAGTAACTGAGGAGTTTCTGTGCTGGCTTTGTTTCCACAGTGAAACAAGTGACCAGGCAGTGGTAAACTCCACAAGTATGCAAAATTTTTCTGATCAGGGTATAGAAATCTTGTATCCCACAGTGAGAGTCCCCTTTGCTGTAACACCTCTGAAAATTTAAAGTCAACAATTAGTGTTGCAGCCAATGCAACAGAACTCATCTAAAGCTCACTGACACTTCATAGAATCATAGAATGATTTTGGTTGGAAAGGACCCTAAAGCTCATCTAGTTCCAACCCCTCCACCATTTTGCATGAAGGAAATATTTACAAAAAATGATCACCAATGCAAAGCTGGACTCTTTGAAGGTAGTATTTCTCAACTAAGCTGCCAGATGAATTGTTCGGTGTGACATCTGCAGGTCTAATCAGGGGTAATGGAGAGGAAATAAGGAAAGAAAAAATTTAAGGAAGGCACTAAGAAAATCTTCCTGATCGTAAAGTGCCCTGAAGAACTGCTTCACAGCAAAAGCTTAAAATTTGCTCACTAGGAGGTATGTAACACTAGAACACAGAAAACGGGGGAAAAATCACAAACGAATCCTGCATAGCCCCATAGAAGAGAGGCTGGATGATCTCATATGCTTTCTGTCTCTGATCTCTGATCACCATGTGCCTCTAATTTATCTGTATTCACATCTTGCCTGCCCTTCAAAGAACTATAGCTCACAACCTCTTGCTGCTGACAAGCAGACAACTGCAAACCAGTTTTGAAGAAAAGGATGCCTGGGTTGAATGCCCAGGAGTAGACAGTGAAGGAGGTCGGTAAGAGGGAGGGGGAAAATGCTGAGTCTCTAACTCATCAGCTTTAATATCCACAGTAATTTTAGAACCAAAGCAACAGCTCTCTAAGCCAGCACTCAGAATCACTTGCCAGTTCAGAGTGTTTCTGTTAAATCTTGCTTTCCCTCAAAGTAAAATTTTTTGTTGACCTACCTCATCCATCTTTCCTCACCTTTTTTTTCCTGTGGAGCTTTAGCCCTTGGAGGAGTCTGAGAGAATTTGAGAGAAGTATATGTTACTTCCTCGCTCTCATCACCTGCAGAAATTTCTGATCTGCTTGCCTCCATACCAAAGCAAGGAGCATGCACAAAAGGATGTTTCAATCAGGTTGTTAAGCAACAGGGCTCAATGCCTGTGAAACAGGAAGCCTGAGGCTATATTCAGAAGACAAGAAATATAAAGCTGCTACCTCTATCTCCAGCTGTTAAGATAACCAAATTTACAACAATGGAGAGTGGTGGAACTGCAGCAGCTTTCATTTTCTAACCTGATGGAGGATGTCTCAAGAACAGCTACTAATGGAAAAGGTGATTAATGACAAAGTTGAGGGGCACTCTAATTGTTGCTAATGCAAGAGGGTGTGATTACACCGATGCAGCAACTGGGAGGATTCGTGGGCTCTGAGGAGCTCCCTTCAGGGCAGAAACAGTGGGATGGTGACAGCACAAGGTAAAAAAGGTTAATAGTGAGAGTACAAGGTGAAAAATGGGACAAGCAATGGCTATGGCAAACTGGCAGCGCTACTGCTGTCAAACAGGAATAAAGGTGGACAGCACAGGTTTGAAATTGAATCCTTGTGAGCTTTGGACAATTCCACTTCAAACTGGGAACTCTGTCTATACCAAATATCAGTGTGACTGTGCTTGAGCCACAAGGTATGCACTGAGAGCTGGCATTCCTCAAGTACATCCAAGTCAACATCTCAACAGCATCGTACAAGGGAGACAGGGGCATATTGAGGATAATCTACCAAAAGGGCACAAAGAGTTATCCTTTGGGACCACACCTTCTGTCCTGGGAGGAAAGACTGAGAGCCCTGGTACTGCTTGGCCTGGAGAAAAGACTTCTTGGTAAGGATCCAATTAATGTATATAATTACCGGAAGGGAGGGTACAAGAAGAGTCAAACTCTTCAGTGGTGCCCAGTGAGAGGACAAGAGGCCACAGTCACAAACTGAAAGACAGAAGATGTTTCCTCTGAACACAGGTGTTGCCAGGAAACACTTTTTTTTACTCTGAGGGTGGCTGAAAACTGACATAGGTTGGCCAGAGATGTTGTGGTGTGTCCCTCAGTGGTGAGTGGCCTGGACACAGTCCTGGGCTGTAGGTGGACCAGGTTGAAGGTGGGCTGGCTTGAGCAGAGGGTGGGACCAGATGACATTGAAAGGTTCCTTCCCAACTCAACCATTTGGTGATTCTATGGTCAGCAACAATAGGAAAAGCTACTTTTCTTTTGAAGTGTTGACCATTGATGAGAATAATTCAAGTTGTGCTAGGGGAGGTTAAGATTGGATATCGGCAACATTTTCTTCACCAAAAAGGATATCAAGCACTGGGACAGGCTGGACAGGGAAGTGGTTGAGTCACCATCCCTGAAAGTATTTTTTTTTAAAGATAAAGATGTGGAGCTTAGGGACATGGTTTAGTGCTGGGCTTGCCTAATGATCTTCAGGGTCTTTTCCAAACTAAAAGATTCTGTGATTCTGGTGGGGAGTACAGATGTTTCCAGCACCCCAATAAATCTCCTAGCTGCATAGTTGGCTGGTTTTTGTTTTAATCCACATTCTGATCCCTTCCATTTTGTGCTCAGAATGGGAATATTGGTCAGGCTCTGGCTGCACTTCTTCAGCACAGTACACTACAGTTAATTTGCAATATATGTCTGGGCATGCTCAACAAAGGAGTTGGGATCACTGCTACCTCCAACAGGGATGATTGTTCCCCCTTCTGGTGATATGTTCTAAATTCTGGTGACATGTTCTAAATTACTGCATGGGATTTGCCATTGTTACAACGCACATGGTGGGGAAGGGACTGGATATTTCTGCAAACTTCTTCACTTGCCTGTAAGGGTGGCATATTGCACCCACAGGATTCCTTCCAATCCTAGGTAGGGCCTCTGGACAGCAAGATAGGGAGAGTGCTTGAAAGGATGGGGAAGGCATAAGATAGCAGAGCAAGACAAGAGGCAGAATGTCTCTCCTAAATGCTTCCAGTGAATAATAGAGAAGTCTAAAGAGAGCTTTCAAGCTCAGAGAGACAGAAGACACAGCTTAAGTGTCCAAATCCGATTTTATCCCAGCTTTGTGTTTCTTTGGTAGATTCTCTCCAGTATTTCCATGTTCTCTCATACTTTGGAATAAAGGTGCCTCTCCCAGCTCCTGCCAGTTTTGTCACTTTTAAACTGCCCAGGCTGCCTGCTGACCCAGAGTGACTACAAAGACAGCACTATTTGTGAAGAAGTGGAGAAGTGTAAGCTTGTGGGAAAGAATTAAGAGCTGTTTTAATGTTGTTTACCTTTTTTTTCCCCATAATACCAGTAAGACAGGAAGTAGAGGGGGAAGGATCACACTGTAGAAGGTATGAAGGCAACTCTCGGTTATTTATTCACACTTACATTCACATGTAAGTGTGAATAAATAAATCTGACTAATGCAGCTGCGCCATACTGTAAGTATGGAGCCACAGTAGAACTAAACTGATCAGTTTTCCAGGAGCCAGCAGCATTTCTTCCGTAGTTCTTCACTACTGAAGCAGCATACCAGAGGGAGAACCTCCCAAATTTCACTCAGACACATACCTTTTCCAGCATGTTGGTACATTCTTTAACTGCAGCATTTCTTTCTTAACTAGAGGATGCAAAAGTCTCAGAACTCTGGTGAAGAAGATGTGTCCCTTCCAGTAGCAGACTCCTGGAAAGTGGGACGTGCTCTGGGAACACATCATAAGGAGAGAGATGTCCTTTGAACAGGCCAGTCTCGCATCTCACATTTATAGCTTTATTAATGACATCCAAGATGCTCAAGCACCCCAACCTTGTGTGCTGGACCTGGAATTCCTCTACAGTGGTAAAATCTGCAGGAGTTGGGGGAGGCACCTTTATTCCAAAGTACAAGAACAAAACATGGAGAATCCACCAGAGACACAAAGTGGGGACAAAATCAGAAGGATCAAGGCCACAAAGCAGTTTGTGAAGTGGTCGAGGCGCCTTGCTCCTGCAACACAGTTCACTCTGGAGGCACCTGGTGGGTATGGCAAAGCTCAACACAGAGGGACTGCTACCGCCTCCGGAGAAGCCGAGAAGCCCTTCATTCCTGCTGATGCGGCCAGCTGCCTGCGGCTCTCCGAACCTGCGCGGGGCACAGGAGAGGGCAGAGCGCCACTTCAGCGAGGGACAGTCACAGAGCCCCTGTGGGCGCTGATCCGCAGCGGGAGCCTCGGCACGGCACGGCACGGCACGGCACGGCAGGCGCGGCTCGCTCCGGCTCCGCGCCGTGAGGGCTCCTCCTCTCTGCCCGCCCTCGTCGCTCATTGGCAGAACGGCGAGCGGGGGCGGAGCCTCCGTGCTGAGGCTCATCGCCTATTGGCTGGCAGAAAGGAAGGGGGCGTGCCCCGGCGCGCCCCGGCCCTGCCCGTCCTTCCCCGCCGCGCATCATTCGCTCCGCAGCGCTGCTGGGCGGGCGCTCCCGGCCGCTCCCGCGCTCCCATTGGAGCCGGGCTCCAGTTCCGCCACGCTCTTCCCGGCTTCCGGCTCGCGGGGCAGCCGAGGGAGCCGGTCGGGACGCGGAGGAGGCCGGTGCCGCCCGTGCCGCCCGTGCCGCCCAGTATGGGATGCGCGTGAGCCGCGGGTCTCTGCTCCCCGCGGGCGGCCGCAGGTGGGTGGGCGGGTGCGGCGCTGGCACAGCGAGGCCGCGGGGCGAAGCCGCGCTCCGTCCCGGGCGGGTCTGGGGCAGGGGCCCCCGGCTGGAGGAGCTCGGCCGGGCCGCTCCCAGCGAGGCGCAGCAAGTTGCCGGGAGAAGCCATGTCTAGGGCTGAGCGCAGGTTCTGCTTTTGGGAGAGAGCAGTCACGAGTGCTCGTGTCACGGGCTTCCTCATTTCGCGACCGCGCACTGGAACCGATTGCCCGTGGAGGCTGTGGAGTCTCCCTCGCTGGAGATACCGCAGAACCGTCTGTAGACAATCCTGTGCCACGCTAGGGTGACCCTGCTTGAGCAGGGAAGTTGGACCAAGTGACCCACTTTGGTCCCTTCCAGCCTTGCCCACTCCGTGGTTTCTGCGGTCTTTTGGTGCCCCGTGGCGAGCAGAGCCGCTCAGCAGCTGTGGACTCCGGGGGCTCTGGGGAAATCATCAGGTTCACTCAAACGGGCTCTGTGTCCAGGTGCTTATTTAATGGAGGGCCTGCCTTCCACCAACGACTGGAGCTTTACCAAAATCTGCCACACAAGAAGCGGGGGGGGGGGAATCTGACTGCCTTGTTTGACTGGTGCCATCATTGAGTGTTTCATTTGTGATTTTAGCATGAACCTGAAAGCCAACTCTTACAGTCTTATAATGTTGTTGTTATTATTATTGCTATTATTAATTCTTACTGTTATTATCTTCCTTACTGCCTTGTTGATTGGATCTTACATAGGATGCCTTGCTTTCCTTCTTCCCTAGTCGAAACTGGGAAGGGAAGGAAAGGAAGGTTCTGTGAAGTTGCAGTTTAGCATTATTAATGTATTTCAGATTTTCAGCTAAAGGAATACTGGGAAGATCATTATAAAGATTAAGGCACTTGAATGAACAGAGTCTGACTAACCACAGTGGCTCTTCCCTGTGAGCTCTTTACACGAGAGCTGTGAAGATGATTGATTAGAGGCCTCATAAATAATTTTCTGCTGACTGGCTTCTCAGAGCAACACCATAACAAACAGTGGACTATGCTTGAAATTTACTCCAGCATTCAGTCTGCTGGACTCTGCTCTGGCAGGCAATTAATGTGCTCAGCAGCAAAACTTTTTGTGGTCTCAAAGCAAATTCAGAAGAGGGCCCCAAATCAGCCCAGTGATTTGACTTTGGCTGCGCAAGAGATTCAGATTTAGTCTCTTGTGAACTGTGAGTTGTTTCAGCTTCTGCTTTTTGCAGTCAGGACTGAGGAAGTGGCTAATCATTGACTCCATGACCCTGAAGTTAGTTTGCAGGGGGCTGAAACTAATCCTTTGTGAAGTTAATCCTCTGTGTTCTCTGTGGCATGTGTCCAGGATGTCACCACCTTGCCATACCTCGGCCTTGCTGCTGGTCTTTGTGGCCCTGGCTGTAGCAGGGGCTGAGCAGTCCGAAGAGAGGAGCTGTGATGTGGTTGGTGATGAGAGCAGTGAATCACAGACAGAGAGAGCCCTGCTGAAGAAACTGGAGCCCCTGAGCCACATGAGGTACAGCACAACACCCTGCAGGCCTCGGGGCTGCGCAGTGGGCCAAGGGGAAGGGAGGATTTGGGTCAGACTGCAGAATGGACTCCCCCTGTTAGTGTGGTCTGGTCTCTGATGGGCTGCCGGGTCTGGAGTGACACTGCTCTGAGTGTTCTTTGTAATCCAATGGGCTGTCTCTTCTGTCCTCTCCCTGCTGCAGGTTTAACGTGACTGTGGAGAAGGGCAAAACAGAAAACTACGTCTACAATTTCAGGGTGTGCAGGGAGGTCAACAGCACCTCGCACGACTTTGGTGGCCTGGTGCAAACAGATAGACAGAATGGAAAGACCACGGTGATAGGAAGAATCAATGAAACCCAGGTCTTCAATGGAAGTACGATTCCACTCAATACTTGGCTTACTCAGGAGCTGCCTTTCGCCTCCTGATCTGGATTTGTAGCCTGTATTGTTTCTCTCCTGGCAGGTGACTGGATCATGCTGATTTATAAAGGAGGTGATTCATATGGCAGGCACTGCAGTGGTGAGAAGAGGCGAGCTGTGATAATGATTTCTTGCAAGCGGGGAGTTACAGCGGTGAGTGACACCTGGGATGAGAGAGCATCGGGGGCTGCCAGACCAATGGTTGGTTGTGAGCAGAGGGGTTTTGAGGGGACAGTGAGCTGGCCTCAAGTGTCTGGTGCCCAGCTGCCCCAACATTGATAAAACTATCTCCTGGTGAAGTACAGTGTGTGTGGGCATGTTTTCACATGACTTCACTTTTCCCAAATTGCAGAGTTCATTCAGCATTATTTCTGAAGAGCGGGAAAAGGAGCAGGAGTGTTTCTACCTCTTTGAAATGGACAGCAGTGTGGCTTGTCCAGCTGAGAATTCCCACCTCAGTGTTGGCTCCATTCTGCTGATCACGTGAGTCATTTGAAGAGCTGTTTGTGCCTGGGTCATAATCTCCAGTACTATTTAGAAATGTAGCAAATGATATAGTAAGACTAAATTACTGCAGTGTACTTTCCCACTGCCACCATTAGATGTTACTATGCCTCTGAGCTTTTTGGACAAAGGCTCTTGCTCAAGGCATGATGCTGGGCTGGTCCATTCTCAGTAAACACTTTCCTTCATAGCTTACGGACAAGTGCACTGAAGCATGAGAGATTTGACTTCCTAAAATTATATGATGGCTCTTTGCCAGAGCTGGGAACTCAGACCAGGAGTCTTGACTCATTTTCTGTTTGGGAGGCACTACTTCACATAATGCTGCTAAAAGATTAATACAACCAGATTGATAAGTTGGAGACCTTTTATGGTCTGGTTTCTGTTTACAGCTGTTCTTGAGTGGTGCTATCTCGGAAGAGATTTTCTATAGGGTTTCCTCAGCTTTGATTTTCCTTTTTTTTTTTTTTAATTCTGCCTCTTAGGTTTGTGTCACTGATTGCAGTCTACATCATTGGTGGGTTCCTCTACCAGCGCCTCATTGTGGGAGCAAAGGGCATGGAGCAGATTCCTCACTTTGCCTTCTGGCAAGATCTGGGCAATTTGGTGGCAGTGAGTAAAAATTCTTACGTAATCTCAGCCTGGCCCATCTTAGGAGAAAAAGGCACTGACTTTGTGTTTTGGGTAGACCTACAAGCAGGGTAGAGTACTTTGAAGCAGAAGAAGAGGGTATCTGTTTCCTTTTTCTTGAGTATGCCATTTTTTAATCCTTGCTGAGACCAATTTCCTCTGTCCTGCAACTGCTCCATAACAAACTAGAACATGTGCTCCTCAGGAGTTCACACTTTCCAGGTAGAAATGCTCACCTGGGGACTGTGAAATGCTTACTTCTGACTGTGAATCCTTCCGTGGTCATTGTAGGCAGTGGTATTTATCCTTCATACTTGCCTTGGCCTGATGTTGCTGCATAACTGTCCAGAGCTTTTAAGACCTAGTAGGATGTTTTTTATCCCCAAATTTTGGGGAGATGTTTCAGGTAGCACAAGGATAGGCATAATCCCTTAGCAAAAGAGAAATCGCAGGAGCTGCTTTGGTTTGGATGCTGAGTCAATTGCAAACAGTCTGATGCTAGTGCTGTGTCCTGTGCTCGTAGGATGGCTGTGACTTTGTGTGCCGATCCAAGCCTCGGAACGCACCAGCCGCGTACCGTGGTGTGGGGGATGACCAGCTGGGAGAGGAGTCAGAAGAACGGGATGACCACTTGCTGCCCATGTGATAGGCTTTCCACACCAAGATCTTTTCTCCCCATCTCCCCAGTGCTTGTTTAGCCAGGTGCCTCCCAGCCAGTTCTCCTTCTCTCACTTCTGATTTTCTTTACACTGTTTGCTTCCGCTGTCTCCGGTGTGTCAAGTCCCATGGATGCCTCTGGATGTGAACAGCACTGGTTCCTAATGGCATGGCTTATAAATATAATGCTGGGTTGGGTTTTAAAAGTGCAGCAGAGCTCAGGGAAGAAGTGTTGACAGTTGAGCAGAAAACAGCAATTTAAATGTTCAGCACTGAGCAGGAATGGGAGATGAATCACTAAGAGGAAAAAAGGGGCATCGATGGGTGCAGAAAGGGAAAAAGGCTATGGCTTAAAACAGCTGACACTGTAAAAGGGATATTCTCTTTCTTTTTAATTTTTTCACTAGGGTTTACACAATCTGTAAGACACTGGAATTCTTTTTCTTTGAATGCATTTTCAGCTTTTCTAGCTTCTGCGCTGTTATACAATTTCTGCCAGCATAACGGGCACAGAGTGCTCTATGCCAGACTCTGGGGGTGAACAGGCATTAGCACCTCTGCAATCTTTTGTTTCCCTAATGGCAGTGGTGTGAACTTCTCAACAGTTTCCTTCAACAGCTCTAAAGGGATTCATGCCATCCTCTCCGACTGGAGAGAGGCAATGCTGAAAAACCATAGGAGTTAAATGGAGTCAAAATATTGACTTCAAAGTATTGACTCAGTCTTCTCAATCAGTGAGAAGCAAAAGGAAAAACATGTGCTGCTAAGGAAAAGGAACATTTGCTGAAACTGAAAGTGACATTAAGACAAAATGAGACAGGTAGCTGCCACTTGAGTTCTGACACAGGCTTCCTGAGGTGACTGCCCACACACCTCAGTCACTGTCAGCATTGTGATTTTACACTCCCCAGAAATACCTTGTTTTGCAGAGGGTTTTCCTACGAAGATGTCAGAATTTATTTTTATATCAAAGGAACCATGGAAGCCCTGGCTAAGAATGCCAACACACTGAGAATTGGATAAGGGACTCTCACATGGTCAGCTTTCATAAATCACTGTCCCCTTAATCATGGTGCAGGCCAGTCTTAAAGACACTTGCCCTGCGCAGATGGTACTTAACATACTGCCACTGGCTGGGAGTGACAAAGACCACCTCCTTGGGCCCTGGTGAAAAGCAGGTACACTTGAGTTGTAGACTTAATGGGAACCTTCAGGAACTCCACACCTTGATTCTAAATTGCTTTTTATTTGAGAGGCTAGACTGAGCAATCCCATTCTACCCTACTGTGTGGACTAGCTGAGAACTGCCCCCAGTCTGGGGGGCAGAAACTGAATAAGCAAGCCACCACTGTGTTAACAGCAGAGTACTGACAAGGTGTAGGGAATGCTGGGCTCCAGGACGGTTTAGATGAATGGAGATGAGAGATCTCTGAAGGCTGCTCTTGGGATATCAGGTTTATTAGGGATGATGAAAGGTCTTGCTTGGAGCTGCCAGACGCAGCACATGGCAAGGCCTGAGGGGATGGGGGAGGGGAGAGACAAGGGGCAGAAAGGATGCTCTAGGAGACGCGGGAAGAAGATCCAATAGAGGGGAAGTTCCAGGAGAGCATCTGGCCCCTCGGAGACCCCTTATCAGGGGGCTTCAAGGTGGGCTGGAGCAAGACTTGGGGCAATGGGGTTACAGGCACTTGATGTTTCAAGGGAGGGTTACAGATGTGGGATGAACCATACATTTTGGGGGTTGAGATGGAACAGTCTATTTGACTTTTGGACTTATCTGTAGGTAAGGGTATTGTCTAGCCAGTAGGGGGGATTGTTTTCATCCTGGCTGTACTATTGTAAATCTTTTGCCAGGCGATTATATTTATCCATCCTTTCCCACAACAAGGTTCATGTATTTTTAAGACACTGAGAGAAAAGGGGTGGCCTTGCTTTCTTTCTGGGTTTGGAGTGGGCAAGCAATTCCTGCTTTCTTTGACTTTTGTTACAGTCTCAATCTTTCTCATAACATGGGAAAAATAGGAAGTCAGCAAATCTGTTACTGTTTTCATGGTGGTAATTTTTTTTGTACAAAACACAAATTTCAAAAATAAAGTGACCAAAAAACTTGGTGAAGTGTTGTGCTGATGTAGCAAGAGCTTGCTTTGGTACCAGAACATCTTTCTCACCCAAAAGTAAAGGGTTCTCCATATGTGGTGCCTTGTTCCTGAACTCTTACCAGTAATGAACATGTTCTTGTTTCTTCATGGTTTTTGCTGTCCCCTTGTTTCACTCCAGGTCGTCTCAGGCCTAGAAGGGAAGGCTATCCACATCTTTCAAAACTGAAACTTTAGAAGCTCAGGTAGTTTTGGATGAATGGATTATGCTCTGTATTTTTCTGCAGAAATAACTTAGTGATGAGGTTTGTACTTTCCAAACACTCAGGGGTTAAAAAGCAGCCAGACCTGCAAAGCCTGATCAAGGATTTTTTATTAAGAACACTGAACATGAAATGAAGAAGTGAAGCCTTCCCATTTGACTGAAATAAAATCCAGTCCTCAGGAGTAGATGGCAACAGTGGCAGGCTACCTGCCTGCCTACCCTGCCAAAGGTCAAACTAAGCAGGAGTTGTACCACACCCAGCCTGCTAAGGATAAAATGGTTTAAGGGCAGCCTGCCTCTGCTCACTGCCGATTATAAGCTCCCCCTCCCCTGTCCCCAGATTACATCAGACCAAACTCGTGGTAGCAGGGTGCAAGCAAGCACAGGCAGCTTCCTTTGGGTCTATTTGCATCCACAAAGCCTCAGAAGTCTACTCACATGAAAAAGGATGTCACAAAAGTGAGATTCAGCAGCACAGTTAAGACTAGGAAGCTGCTGCCACATTTTATCCTTCTACTAAGCACTTTCCTCCTTCTTTTTCTAACATGGGTCAATAAAGAGCCCATTTTAAAGATCTCTAATGTTTTCCTATCTATGCTATTAGGCTTTCTCCCATGCCACTACAGCTTTCCTGCAACAGTAGGTGCTTAACACAGAGAACAGTCTTATGTTTCACTCAAATATGTATGTGAAACTTTTGAAAATAGAAAAGCTGAGATACATGGTTTATAACACCATCTTGCTTTCAGGTATTTGGCTCTGGAGAGCATTTACCTCTTCACAGTTTGTGTAACTCCTTCAGGTGTTTTGCCTGTTTGAAGCAAAGGTGCTTGTGGAAGAGAATAACTCTGCCCAGGTTTTCACCTTTGGCAATTTGGCTACAAAACAGCAAAATACCACATTTGGTCCTTAAAAAAAATACGACAACCAAAGAACCCCTAAGCAAACCTGGAGGGGCTGAGTAGGAGAAAATCAGCCTGTAACAAAAATTCTACCCTTTAGAAATGAGAAGTCATATTAAAAGATTAGTATTCCATTATTGTAGGGGGTGTTT